TGTCCGTGAGGATGTTTTGTTGTGCTGCTTTGTCTGCGCGATCTTGTGCTCTCTCTCTCGTCTGCACAGCCAATCAGCTAGAGTGGGTGTATAGATTAACATCAAGCGTACACACGTTTGAAGCAGCGGATCGATCGATGCCGTTTGAAAAATCAATGCGAATTAATTAATCACGCGAGATGCACGTAATGCCAGCTGGGGACAGGATAAGTCGTGCGCAGTTTGGCTGGGCGGCAGACTCCTATAGATTCACCCTTGGTACCGTTTGTGCTGTGATTGGCTTAACCGGATCTCCTGCCGCATCCGTTTCTGCGGTTGGGGTTGATAGCTTGGGTCGTCGGGATCATCTGTCTGGTTGTCTTACATCTTCCCCTCCTTCCCGGGGGCTAATGCATTTACAGGCTTGTAACGGTGATCAATTTTATGTCCCTATTTTGGTTGGTGCTTGGTCTAGTTAGGGCAGGGGATTAGGTCTGTTGGCTTCCGTTTAAGATGCCTTAACGAGTGTATTTTCTTTTGTAGTACATGCACAGTGCGGGCATCATCCACCGCGACCTGAAGCCCTCAAACATCGCCGTAAACGAGGATTGTGAACTGAAGATCATCGACTTTGGTCTGGCTCGGCAGCGGCAATGTGAGATGACCGGCTACGTGGCCACCCGATGGTACCGCGCTCCCGAAGTCATGCTTAATTGGATGCACTATAATGATTCAGGTGGGTAAACCTTAGCTGGTGGTTAACACTTTGTACCTAAGACTTAACCCTACTGGTCAGGATATAGAAGCAAATGAGACGGATTCTGTGCTAAGCTACTGCCCTATTATTTACCCGCAATTAAATCTTTAAAATGATACCACTGCAAATTCTGGTTGGCTCATTTAGCACCGCTTTTGGGGCTGTGATCTATTTTCCCGTTTGTTATTTGCCGTCCTGCTAAGACTGTGTCTTTTCTGTTGACTTCGGGAGAACTGTAGTGAGCTACGAGCGAGACCTGTGCCGCAATTGTCTTGAGGATGATTATTGTGTTTTTTGTGGTTACTCTGTATAATGATGAACGAGAATTGGTTTAGGCGCCTCCCCCCCCCTCTTTCACCCTCCCCTTACGTTTGCCTCGACACAAAGAGTTCCACCGCTTTGCCCCACAAACATACTACGTTGCGGAGACGATTTCTAAGGGTCGGAAAGAGGAAGTGAGGCCTACACCGGGGGAGTCAACCCCCACAGAAAATCAGCGTATTTCTCACTCTAGGCAACCTCTTGCACTTAAATTTACCACGACACGTTAACAGATGTTGCTTAGAAGCTTGCCCACTGGCCTGGATGAGTCCGTGGGCTCTTGCCGACTGGAAGAGTGAGATTCGCAAAACAGTAGACGTTTGTTCACTTGGCTTTAATCTCATTCACCTCTGTGTATGCGCGATCTGAGTTACGTTTGTCTCATAGCATTTACGTCCAATGTGGGCCAAGTCGTGCGTGGCACGTATAGGCGAGTTGATTAACTTTGTTGGTCTCTGCACCTCCGATCGTCATAACATGGTCTTGTCTTCGGAGCGTGATCGGCGGACTAGTTTACACGAAATTAGCTGTTGCTGTGCCCGCTCCCTGAAGCAGACGATGCACTTCTTAGCTATCGCCGGTTGAACTGTCGTTTTCGGTTTCATCGACTTACCGGGCTATTCTACCAGCAAAACTACATTCGCGTCGTCGAAAGGCACAGGTTACCTTTACACGGTCTCAGTAACCATTTTAAACGGTGGATGGGTGTGGTTATTTTGATGCTCAGGATCTTGTGGAATCACAGATAAATGTCTCCAAAGCCAGGCGGATTCACCATAAAGGCGCCACTTTATGTTATCCCTTGCACTGGAATCTATCATGACACCTTAACAGATATTGCTTGGCAGGTTGCCCACTGACGGCATAAGTCTGTTCTCATGCCGACTGGAGGAGTGAGACTTGGAAAACAGTGGAACTTTGCTCAATTGGGTTTAATTTCATTCATCTCTCTGTATGTGTCTTCGATGCCTCTT